CTCCCCCGCCGTACCGTGTCGCGCTCGGCCTTGAGCTCCTCGATCTCCTTCTCCTTGGCCTGCAGCTGCTGCTGCTGCTGCTCGATGAGGTCCAGCTGCAGCAGCAGGATCTGCCGCAGACATGCCGCCTGCCCGGGGGAGCCGCCGCCGGCGCCCATCCCGCTCCTCCGCGCCGCGCTCCTCCACTTGGCCTCGGCGGGAGGCGGCGGTGGCGGCGGCGGAGGGCCCGGCTCGGCGCTCCCCGCTCCTGCGCTCTCCTTGGCGGCCGCGGGAGCCGCGCCGTGCCCGGGCAGCACCGCCTGGTACCGCGCCCGGCCGCTGGCATCCCCCGCGCCCGCCTGCTTGCCGCCGGCCAGCGGCACCGGCCCGGCCCAGCTCTCGGCCGGCGGCCCGGGAGCCCCCCCCGGCGCCCCGCCGCCTCCCGCCCGGCCCTTGTGTGCCCCCAGCGGCGGCTCCTTGGGCCTGCGGGGCGGCGGGCGGCCCTCCTCCTCCTCCCCCTCTTCCTCCTCCTCCTCCTCCTCCTCTTCCTCCCGCCGCTCCCCCGGGCCCCGCTCCCCCGCCGGTCCCGTCCTTTCGCCGCCGCCCGCCCGGAAGGCGGTGGTGGAGCGCATCCTCACGGCCCTCCGCCGCCGCCCCGCGCCGCCGCCGCCGCTCCGCTACCGCCCGCCGCCATGGCGCGGCTCCGCCGGCACAACGGCAGCGCGCGGCCGCGGGGGCCCGAGGGGAACCGGGGCCGCCCCGCGCTCATAACCCGCGCCGCGGGTCGGGGGGGGGTGCGGATGGGCGCCCCGGATCGCTCAGCGCCCTTCCTCGCGGCCCGACGGCGGTGCCCCCCCGCACGGCGCCCCTCCGCCGCTCCTCGCGGCCCTTTCCTCGTGGTTCCCCCCGGGCGCTCCCCCGACGGTGTCCCCAACCTCCTCAGCCTCTCCCCGCAGTCCCTCTCTCCTCGCCCCGCAGCCCCCCCCACCCCTCGCAGCGTATCCTCGCGGCTCTGCCCCCCATCACACAACACGCTTCTTTCCCCCCCCCCCCAGGGCCGGGCCGCTCTCAGTGCCGCCCCCCGGGTACCTTCAAACCGGGCGCGGGGCGCGTGCGCGTGCGCGGCGGTGCGGGGTGGGAGGTGGGAGGGGGGGGGTCCCGCCCCGCCGCCCGCACTGCCCCGCACCGCCCCGACGCGGCCGCTAGGGGGCGCGCGAGAGCGGCGGCACCGCCCGCACCGGGACCCCCCGCCACCCCCGGGTCCCGCAGCCTCCCGATTGCGCGGCTGTGCGTTACACAAGTGTGCGCTGCGTGTGTGTATCGCGCGTGCATCCGTGTGCACAGCTCCGAGGGGACCGCAGCCCCCTCCCCCCCTCCGGATACGCGTGCAAGCAGCTGCACGCACACGCTGACACACCTGCAGGGTCTGCAGCCCACGCTGTTTGCACGGCGGGCACGCATTGCACGCGCACACATCGCGTGTGCACACTGCTGCACGGAATGAGGCCCCAGGGCACGTGTGCACGCATGCACACAGATACAAACACAGATGTAAACAGAGCTCTGCTGGCAGCGGCTGCAGCCTCTGGCTTCCATGTGCAAGCACGTGCACACACTGCGAGGCTGCAGCCCCAGAATGCACACGCATACACACGCACCCCACGCACGCACACACCTGCAGGGCCTGCACTGCTGATGTGTGTAAACACACGTTGCACACATGTGCACACACTGCTCACACACACACACTGCAGGGAGAGACCACAGCCTCACTGTGTGCTCACACACTGCACACACATTGCACACACTCCTGCAGTGAGGAACTGCAGCCCTGCTGCTTGCACACGCACACACGTGTACAAGCGTGTACACACTGCACACCCACTGCCACTCTTGCTCACACCAGCACATCTCCCTGCAGAGCCTGCACACACACACACACACCTATCCCTGCACACACACACACGCATAAGCACACACACACATCCCACAGGTGTCCATGCACACACACACACACCACACACACATTTGCTTATTATGCACATCCCTGCAGGCAGGGACTGCAGTGTGCACTCACACACAGTGCACAAACACGCACGGGGCTCACACACACATCCCTGCAGTGGGGGGGTGGGCTGCGTGGGGGGGGCTGCAGCCTTGCCGTGTGCACACACACACACACAGATACACGTATGTACCTGCACCTACACGGCTGTTCTTATAGCAGCACACACACACCCCCTGCAGGGCCGTGCTGCACACGCACACACACACACACACA